TACCTTTCTGTGGCTCCAATGTGGTTCTTCACTCCTACTGTGAGCACTTAGCTTTGGCCAGGTTAGCATGTGCAGACCCTATGCCCAGCAGTCTCTACAGTCTAATTGGTTCCTCTATTATGGTGGGCTCTGATGTGGCCATCATTGCTGCTTCCTATATCTTGATTCTCAGGGCAGTATTTGGGCTCTCCTCAAAGAATGCTCAGTTGAAAGCATTAAGCACATGTGGCTCCCACATGGGAGTTATGGCTTTGTACTATCTACCTGGAATGGCATCCATCTATGTGGCCTGGCTGGGGCAGGATGTAGTGCCCTTGCACACTCAAGTGCTGCTAGCTGACCTGTACCTGATCATCCCAGCCACTTTAAATCCCATCATCTATGGCATGAGGACCAAACAATTGCGGGAGAGAATATGGAGTTTTCTGAAGCACTTCTTTGATCACTCCAACTTGGGTTCATGAACATAATATCTGTTCAGATCTGGAGCCAACTTCAAAGAAAGATGTCTTAGGCATCTGGAGCTGGATTGGTTTACCTGGGAATTCTAAGATAAGGTGTAAAGGATATCTTTGCATAGCTTTTCAATTACTAGGAGGAGTGTGAATGAAATGTTTCTGATTTTCTGATAGCTTCAGTGGATTCAATCAACTTGATCTGAATCAGAGATAAGTTTTGGTAGAGAATATAGATTTGGTTGAACTTAGGTCCACCTAATCTTTAGTAATGTGTTAGGTTAGCCTGACAAGGCACAAATCTCCTTCTGGCTTCCCCCTCACCATCCCTCAAAATAAAAGACAACAAAAAGACCACTCACTTTTTATGAACTATTATGTGTCCAGTTAGGATCTGGGGAACTGAGAGCATGCATGCAACAGTGTGTCTTAGTCTTCCATATTTCCAAATAGTTATGTGTCTTTTGCATTAAAATAATACAAGAAACGTTATAGCTTGTGCCTGTTGACTCTTTTCTCCCAATTTTATTCCTTCCCACAGAAGATGCCCAGGCAGAAGTCATGACCTTTAAAACATGGCCCCAACACCCTTCTAGTCTCTTGTAATTTCAATCCCTTTCAAGTCTCCTGACTCTACCAACTCTGGTTTATTCTCTGTTTGGAAAACATGTTTATACTCCATTTGGAGCAGAACACAAGTCCAAAGGAGGGGACTTAAAAGCTGATCCTTCAAAAATGAATAGAAATTTTTAAGAAGTAAGAAAAGTAGCATAGCATTAGAAGTCATTTTTTTTTTTTTGGACCCTGCAATATCACCAAGCTGAGAATAGCCCTGTTCTCATACTTTTGTGCTCAGGTGCATGTCCTACATCCAGTTGAAAAACTCATCTTCCTTGCTCTGTCCTACATCCCATTTCCCTTCTCTGTTCAACAGGACATTATAACATCATGGGAAACATTTAACCAGTGAAGCCTGGCCTGAGTTCCAGGCAGAACTGAGGAAATGTGAGCTCAGCTTTGAGATATTGAGTACACTATCAGTGTGAATAGTTCTACAATAAAGTGAAATGAATTATGGTTTTTGGAATTGAGATCTTGACTCTCTGGCTTACTAGTTTTGTGACCTTTATGAACCTCAGCTTCATCTATAAGATGTCAATGTGATGATGGCAGCTACTTCAGGAGGTTCTGAAAATTGACTGAGATAATATTTGAAGAAAGCATTTACTGGGATGCAAGGCACATAGTGGGCTTTCACAAATCCTACCAATCACAAGTCTTTGGTTTTCCCAGGATGCACTCTATACTCTTAGTCTAACTTTTAGGTATCCTTTGAGGACCTGAAGACACAAAGACTCCTCAGCCACTAAGCATTTGCTTCCTCCTACAATCTGGAAATCCCCAGGGTCCAGAGCACAAAGAAAACCCAGTCTCTTGAGGAGTTGCAATGTTTGTTTGCTGGGCAAAGGCCACGGGAAGATGGGTATCCAGGGACAATGCAGGATGATTAAGTATCCAGAGGGAATAGAGAGTCCCCAGTGGGAAGTTTTTTGAAAAGACAATATGACTCTCCATTGTTTGCTTATGTTAGATTTTGTTTGCTCTTTCTGCTCCTCCCCAGGTGTCCTGTATTAACCCCTCTTCTTTTGCATGAAAGAAATGTGGACTATGAGGCCACATTTAGAGAAAGTTAAACAGAGAAAACTCTTGGACTATGGGTAACCGACTTGGGCATTGGTGTTGGGCTGACAGAGTATGAAGGTCAGGTCACCCCAGAGTGGAAAATATAAGCCCCCACTCCTTTTGTACAGGGCTGATCAGGTGTGCTGGGTATTTCTGATACCAAGAGCTCATGAAAATGATAGTTGGATAGGAAAGGTTGGAGGGAAAATGGACATAGAATTACTGTGAAAGCAGAGAAGGTAAGAAGCACAATACTGGGCATGGTGGAGAGACAGTTTTAAGAGACTAAGTAGAGTTGTGAGAACGGAACTCAAACAGTAGGGGCTGGATGGGAGCAGTTCAGTCAGAGATCAGAATAACTCAAAATTATCATAAACCAGACAGGCCCCATTCAAATGTGTTGTTATTAGTTCTTTTTTTTTTTTTTTTTTTTAAATTTTTTATTGGATTATAGGTTTTGGGGTACATGAGCAGAGCATGCAAGACAGTTGCGTAGGTACACACATGGCAGTGTGCTTTGCTTTTCTTCTCCCCTTCACCCACATTTGGCATTTCTCCCCAGGCTATCCCTCCCCACCTCCCCCTCCCACTGGCCCTCCCCTTTTCCCCCCAATAGACCCCAGTGTTTAGTACTCCCCTTTCTGTGTCCATGTGTTCTCATTTTTCATCTCCCACCTATGAGTGAGAATATGCGGTGTTTCATTTTCTGTTCTTGTGTCAGTTTGCTGAGGATGATGTTTTCCAGATTCATCCATGTCCCTACAAACGACACGAACTCATCATTTCTGATTGCTGCATAATATTCCATGGTGTATATTAGTTCTTTTACCATTAATACAATTTCAATTTCAATTATGCATTGCCTATCCTTTTAATAGGAATGAAAAATCCTCACATATTTTATGGTCTGTAAATCATAGGTTATTGAAGTTAAAGAACTTTCCCAAGTTGGTTTTCAGTGACTGACCCTCCAGGTCTGCATGTGAATGTCTTCACAGGATGAAGGCAAAGGCAGGTGCAGGACTGAAATATATCTTAGTTGAACTTGGCCAAAACATTCTGAAAACAGTAAACCTTAACAACCAGAGAACAACAGTGTGTCTATCTTGATCTCAGTACACATTGTGGTGTCTAGGTATGTGTCTTCCTGTCTTCTAATAATAATTATTTATAAGGATATATGCCTCATATTTTTGTATTTTACAGTATGCTCATAGTGTTTTAAAAAGTTAACAAAAAATCAGGGAACAGGCAGTTGTATTAAATGTTTTGGAGATGTCAAGTAAAATAAATAAAGAAAAAGAGTCACTAAACTGGCAACAGATCCTTGGAGATCACTGTTGATCTTAGCCAGAAAATTTTAAGTATCAATAGGCTGACTGAAGTAAACATTTAGAAAAAGAAATAACGAACCAAACCAAGTGCCCTGTTCTTTGCAAAGACTGACAACAACTGTAAATCTCCAGCAATGTGAATTGAGAAGAAAAGTAAATGGAGATTAAAAAGAAAAGCCCACTCAAGGGTATGAAAGGCATGCCCAGTTTAGTTTCCAGGGCTGGCAAGAGGACCAATGCGGCAACATCAGCTGAGGCTGCCTCCTAAGGAAAGGTGAGTTTACACAGGGCAGCCAGGGGAGGAACATCCTGAATCAGAGGTGAGTGGGGAAGAGGCTGTTTGGACCCCTGAACTTTTCTACAGTCCTTGTACAATAATGCAGAACCCGGAGTTTGTGGCATCCAGAACGCATGTAGCAGTCTCAAGGATCTCCTGAATTTTCCGTTCACTCTTCACTACCATTCTACTTCAGTAGCTTTCCTCATCTTCTCATGCTCTGTCATTGAAGATGTCTCACTCAGTATCTCTAGACAGTAAGCCTCCTATAAACTGACTGTGATGTGAGCTACGTACTGTATTCTATCTCTTCTAGGATGTAGCATTTCTTAAGAATAGGGATTTTGATTTGTTTCATAAGGAACACAGCTTGCAATCATATCCCAGAAAGTTGTCCTTTTAAAAGACTCCTGAAGTTGCTGCTGGAACCTGAGTGTGGAGTCAACAATCAGTGCTAAGCTTTCTAGGAGGTAAAAGGAAGGGACAAATATATGTTCCATGATTAGGATTGAGAACTTGGTGAATGCTCGTCTAGTTTTTATTTAACAGAGAAAATGTCTACTGCAGCAAATGGGATCACAAGCACAGAATTCCATTAATCTAATCTATCCCATTACTCAAGGAGGAGACACATTTCTAATAATAAGTTAAAAATGGGTCACTAGAGACAGTATCTAAGGGTAGGCATATGGAACCTTCTCATAATGGAAGCTTTTTAAAATTTTTTTAGGAGAGGCAATAGTAAGTGATAAAGTCGGCTTATCCTGAGTAGTAGTATCTTTTAAGAGACTTAAGACCACAGTTATGAATCATATCTTTGCTATAAGGCTATGAATAATATACATGCACTTAAGTGTATACCATAAAGTCATAGGTAGAGTTTTAGAATTGTCCATTTAGTCCATTAGAGGTCACTATGGCAGATTGTGTGAAAGCTCAGAAAAAGGTAACTAACTTAGCCTGCACATGGAATAGGGGAGGAAGAAAACAGACTTCCTAATTGAGGTAACCCTCGAGCTAATCCTTCAACAATGAACAGTAAGTTTTAAGGCAAAGAATACTGAAGGGGATAAAAGGTGGAGCATGATAACCTTATTAGATGTCCCTTTTCTGATCCTAAGAATACCACCAAGCTGAGATATCCCTCTGCTTTCCTATCATCACAGATGGGAATAAATCTTGGTGGACTGCACTCTTCTCTTAAATTATTTATACAATAGTCAAGAAGTCTCACCTGTGATCCTGGGTCCAGCCTACAACCACACAATGGAAACCCCTGCCTCCTTCATCCTTGTGGGCATCCCAGGACTACAATCTTCACATCTTTGGCTGGCTATCTCATTGAGCACCATGTACATCATAGCCCTGTTAGGAAACACCCTCATCGTGACTGCAATCTGGATGAATTTTACTCTACATAAGCCCATGTATTGCTTTCTGTGTGTTCTGGCTGCTGTGGACATGGGCATGGCCTCCTCAGTGGTACCCAAGATGGTGACCATCTTCTGCTCAGGAGACAGCTCCATCAGCTTTAATGCTTGTTTCACTCAGATGTTTTTTGTTCACTTAGCCACAGCCATAGAGACAGGCCTGCTGCTGGCCATGGCTTTTGACCGCTATGTAGCCATCTGCAAGCCCCTACACTACGAGAGCATTCTCAGACCTCAAGTGATGCTGGGAATGAGTGTGACCATCGCCATTAGAGCTATCATAGCCATTACTCCACTGAGTTGGATGGTGAGTCATCTACCTTTCTGTGGCTCCAACGTGGTTCTTCACTCCTACTGTGAGCACTTAGCTTTGGCCAGGTTAGCATGTGCAGACCCCATGCCCAGCAGTCTCTACAGTCTAATTGGTTCCTCTATTATGGTGGGCTCTGATGTGGCCTTCATTGCTGCCTTCTATTTCTTGATTCTCAGAGCAGTATTTGGGCTCTCCTCAAAGAATGCTCAGTTGAAAGCATTAAGCACATGTGGCTCCCACATGGGAGTTATGGCTTTGTACTATCTACCTGGAATGGCATCCATCTATGTGGCCTGGCTGGGGCAGGATGTAGTGCCCTTGCACACTCAAGTGCTTCTATCTGACCTGTACCTGATCATCCCAGCCACCTTAAATCCCATCATCTATAGCATGAGGACCAAACGACTGCTGGAGGGAATATGGAGTTATCTGAAACCCTTCCTCTTTCACCACTCCAACCTGGGTTCATGAATACAGTATCTGTTCAGATCTGGAGCATTCCAAATTCAAAGATGCCTTAGAGATCTGTGGAGCTAGACTGGTTTACCTGGTACTATAAGGAATTCTAAGATGAATGTAAAGGGTATCTTTGTGCAACCTTTAAATTTCTACCAAGAATATGAATGAAATGTTTCAAATTTTCTGACATTTTAAATGAGATAATACAATAGTGTCTGAATCAGAGTAAGTTTGGTACGGAATAGAACTTTGGAATTTTTCCTTCTATAATTTCTGACCCATGTTTCCTACCTAATATTCCACCATCCCCTCTGCTGAAGAAACCACCTATTTGGTATCTCCCTCTAAAACTGACTGATATTCTCAGAACTGTTCTTCCCTCCATGTGATTACATGGAAAAAGTTATTAATGTATGACCCTGCCCTCTGGGCCAATAGTGATCTCACTCCATTTGACTCCTATGCTCACACCCAGACCAGAGTCCTTCCTAAACCATATGGTTTACTGTGCCTCTGGGGAGATATGGACTTGTGATCAGAGATTATGGTAATTCTACAACACATAAACTGGAAGGAGAAAAGTGGCCCATGCAACAAAAGCCAACTGCCAAGAATGGATGAAGAGATTAAGACTTTGGTTCTCTGATTCCAAATCACTTTGAACACCCAGGTATATTGTTATGTTCTGTAAAATACCACTAAACTTTTAAATGTATCCTCTATTGTTAACCTAGTTGGAGTTAGTATACCAATTACCAGCTTTTTGTTTTTGAGGAACAGAAGCTAACTAAGTTTGCTTTTGGAAATCTTTCTTGTTACTTCCTAGTCCTGGTCTATGTAACTCAACCTTAAGACATAGAAGATGGGGATCAAATATACACAGGTCTTTCTTCTTGTGGGCACCTCTTGGGGGGTGTGCGCTGGGATAAAGAGGTTAATAGACAGCAATACAGATAAAGAAGTTGAAATGTAACCACTATTCTCCAGGTCACTGGATGCTTATGTGATTTTTGGTTTTGTTTTTCCCCTTCAGAAAGTCATGAACTGAGTAATCAGTATATGTTAAAAAAAAAAAGATCTCACATATAAGAGAAACATGTATTTAACTCTGGTACATTTGAAAATCTTAATAAAAAATAATTTCCTAATAGTGTTAAAATTCAAAGTGCAAGAAGAAACTGGGCAAGTTATTGTATCTGACTCAACACTTCCTGTCTACTGATAGAGAAAACAACATTAATTCATAGAGTATTAAAGATTAAATAAATGAAACACGGAAAGCATATAACACAATCTCTGACATATTATATGAACTTAAAAATATACCCAACACATTTCTAATTCCATAATTTTAAGGGAGTAGTCTTATACGGACCAGTACTTATATGACAACTCTTTCAAACAGACAAGCTACTTAGTAACTTAACATCCATACCTTTTGCTAATAGTAGACTTGTTTACCTGCCAACAATGTATTCAATTTCTGAACACCAGCAGAGTAGAAATCAGCCTTTTAAAAATCTGTTAGAGGTCCCAAAGAGCAGTAAAGTGAAACTTTTTTTCCCTCACAATCCCCTAACATAAAAACGAGATTATAAGGTTGTTAAACACATTTGATAAGATTTTCATTTTGAAATGTCACATGATTCTTTCTCCATAAGAAACCTGAAAAATGGGCTATGTCCATTAAATGAAAGCATATTGGATGTATTACAGAACCTGATGTAAAGCAACAAAGGTATAGTCCAGCCGGCACCCCAAACAGTAATTTCTCCACAGCATTTCCATCAGGAAGCTTGCCCTACCAGCTTTGTGTTTCATTCTCGTTGGTTTTTCCTAAAACCAGGTGGAACCCACTGCTAGAACTCAAATATTTACTGAACCACATACTTCCCAAAGTGTGCTGATTCCTTTCCATGGCTATGCCGAATGGGAAATCCTGTGCTTCTCACCTTACATTCAGATATGGTCCTGGCCCATCACATGAAGCAATGCATGCTCTCTTAATTAGTGCCTGGGATGCACAGTAGCCCCTTCATGTTTAGATTTTAAGAGATTACAACCAATCTTGACTGAACAAATGAAGACTGCATTTCTGTGGGTAGTTTTGAACTGAAGGATTTGCCCCTATGTCTCTCTCTTTTTTTTTTGTTATTGCAGTACCCAGGCATTTTACCCTCTTTGCAGTCTTCTTCCGTAAGGCTCAGGTATTGCATCCCTCAGTTTCTCTACAAAACATGGGTAGGCAAAGCTCCTCCCTGCCTTGCAGTGAATGCTTGGACCAAACTGGGGATGCCACCCTATGCATTTCAGGGAGCAGTGCAGTCTCTCCACCGCCACATGGCCACCTGCCTCCTGTCCTACTAGACCACTTATGAAAGGTACAGTAAAAGAAAATTTCCATTAAATTCATATTTGAACACGAATATAATTAGGTATCCTCTAGTTTTTACTACTTTAATATAAAAGCAGGTTACTTTTGTTTTGATTCTAGTCACACGAAAGTTCCCCCACTTAAATATTTAATACACACACAACCCCACCCCCACCCCCACACACATACGTGTGCACACACACACAGTACTAGGCTAGGGCTACAATGGTGAACAGACAAATAAGGTCCTTGTTTTCATATGGTTCTCAGGAGGGAAGTGTAAACAACTACTCTGTAGAGAAGGGTTTTCAGGCACTTAAGAGCTTTAATCTTCTTGTCTGGTCTTAAAAATCAGACAATTTGTAATAATGTAGCATTGTTTAACCTTACAACTCTTCTAACAAATAAGCAGAGTGCCCAAACAGGCTTATACATGTAAAATAAATAAATAAATAAATAAAACTAACCCAAAAAAAGTATATTATGAATGAGACCATTTCATTCCTTCCTTCATTCTAGATTTGAATGAATTTATCACCTAATAATCTTCTATTTCAAGGAAACTTCCAAAATTTGTCCTAATAGCGAAAGAACATTGATTTTCCCTTAACCCTTTGTGCCAAGTGTTCACAGACATAACTGAAGTCTTTTCTAAGGACCTACTTCTCAATTATCCCTTTGCCAGGGAATCCCCCGACAAAGATACTCCTCTAACAAAGGAAGGCTCAACCCTTTGCCAGCACCAGGGTCTGTGACTCACCAGCTCATTCCCCTCCAAGCAGCTGCTGGAAACCTCCCCTCCTACTGCTAATTCTCAAGAAGCAACCTGGAAGCATGGTGAGCAGAATGAGTTTATTTCTCCAGTTTGGCCTGTTTTAATTCCTACATACATGAACAGCCAATACAATTAAAGTAGAAACACAATTTTTAATAGTCCTTATCACAGCCATTTGAAGCACCTTTCTGCCCAAAAGGCTCTCTAGACTGTCAGGAGAGTCCTGAGACAAAGGCGCTGCTGTAAGATGCAGGCTGTATCATGGCACAGTGGGAAGGTCACCACGTGACTTCCACAGCTTGCCTTCCTCTATGCCTCAGAAAGGAACAAATGCATGGGATGCATCTGGGATCTATACAACAACTCTACGAGGAAGGACAATAATATGAGGTTTTATGCTGAATTACACTCATTTTCCCAATGGGGACACATAAAACCTTCCGAACATGTGAGATATTTTAGACTCAAATGTAATAAATGATGTAGAGACATGTAATCTGAGAAGTGAGTTTGTCAACCTTGTTTGAGTGTGAAAAATGCTTTATAGTTTTTATAATCTTATCTTCAATAGCTCTGTAAAACATAACTTGCTTCATTAAGGCCATTTCAGTTTCCTCATTCATAAAGTGAAAATACAAACTAAGGCTCACAGGTTTTCTGATCCTGCCACTTAGAGAAAAAAAGCAGGACTAGGACACTGGTCTCCTGGGAGTCCGAGGAACAGTGATTTGCCCAGCTTGTGCTCAAGAGGGAATGGAGGTGGGGTGGCCTGGGCAGCTTTGTTTGTGTCCCCTGCTGCACTGAATTTCTCTCACCAGGAGGTCACAGAGTGAGGGTCACATAAAGGTTGCTTAGTTGTAGTAAACCTCAGGGGAAGTATCCTCTGACTGGCCTCAGCACAACAACCAGCTCTGGGTATGGGCAGCATTTTTTTTTTTGGCCTACTGGGAAAGCCTACCTAATGAGGTCCTGAAGATTATACCAACTTCATCATCTTCAATGACTTAGCTGTGACACTGGACAGGAATAAGGGAAGAGGGGTGTGGGCTACCAAATGGACAAAGCCCTGATCCTTACCCCAGCAAGTCACCTTAGAAGTGCTCTGATCCTCACCATCAGCCCTGATGCTTCCCCTTTGGGGTGCAATGCTCATTTGACTGGGCCTGTGCTTTTTAAAATAAGTGGTTTCATGACAGACTTTAGCCTGATAGCAAGAAACCAAAGGATCAGACAGAGGAATCCTTGGATTCTGGGCTCAGCTCAGTTTGAGGGGATACCTGTCAGTGGCTGGGTCCTCCAAGCCCCGTGGGGGCTAGCCCCAGTTCCAAGGCCTCTCCTTAGGATGGTAGCTCTCTTAGTCCTCCCCGTTCAGGGAGCAGATGGCTAGAGGGGCAGTGTTGTTGGTTCCAATGCTGTAGCAAGGACTAAAATAGGGCAGGAGGCGCCCAGGGAAGGGAAAGTGGGGGAAAGTGAAGATGTGGGAGCCATTGTCAGTCACATTGTAGAAGGAAATGTCATGAGCCTCGTAATCCACAAAGATTCCCACCCGCCGAGGAGGGACTGGCAAGGACAGGAGTGGGTACTCATCGGTGCCTGCTCGGTACTCATTTCCCTTCCTCAGCCTTATCACCCAGAATCCATAGTGGGGGGATAAATAGACCACCTCCTTCCGGTCTACATTCTCCTTACATACTCCCAGGCCCCACTCAGACCTGTCTCCCACCTCCACCTCCCAGTAGTGCCGGCCTGAGGAGATGCACTGGCTGCCCAGGACAATATTATAGCGGTAAAATCTCTCAGGATTGTCAGGCAGTTTCTGGTTGGTGTCTCCATAGTGCACACATTTTCTGTCTTCAGACACAATGAGACGGGAGTAAGCAGTATCTGGATCCAGGTGCACGTCAGCTAGAAAAAAAAAGGTCCTGGTTG